ATATAGGATGTTCAATACTTGACTAGTTGATGAGCAAATTAATGCATGAACTCATCGTTGTCTTTGATGCTACATCCCTGCATGCTTCATACATGATCCGCACTCGGAGCGTGCATTGAAAACGGCACCGTATGCGCTCCGCCCCTCTCTCGCCCCTCCCATCCCAGCCTCACCCCTTCAGAGCCTTCGTCACGAACGAGCCTCACGGCTGGCTTTCCGTAAGAGGAGGGGGGAGCAGAGGAGGGAGAAAAGGGAGGAAGGAGGAGGAGGAGAAGGAAACGAGGGGGAGGATGGGAGGAGTAGGGGAGAGACAGGGGAGAGAAGGATGAAGATGAGGGGGAGGAGCGGAAAGGAAAGTGAGCAAAAGAATGAGAGGGAGGAGGTGAGGAGGGAGGAGGAGAGAGGATACGAAGGGGAGGAGTGGACAGAGGGAGCAGAGGAGGAGGAGGAGGAGGAGGAGGAGGAGGAGGAGGAGGAGGAGGAGGAGGAGGAGAAGGGGGAGGAGGAGGAGAAGGAGGAGGAGGAGGAGGAGGAGGAGGAGAGGGAGGAGGTGAGGAGGGGCACGCGGAGGAGCAGCAGCAGAAGAAACAGCGATCCCGAGACGCCCCCCTTGTGACCCCACGGAACGCCTTGTCCTGGTGGAGGCAGCAGCGTTCCAACATCTCCAGGGCGCCGCTGTACAGGCACTTCCTTCGCCCCCAAACGGCGCACATCATATTATTACGGACGAGGAGGAGGACGATCCCCCTTCTCCTCCTCCACCATGATTTTCTGGAGGCTCAAGAGAACTCCTGGGACCTCTGGAGGCTTCTAGAGTTCTGCGGAGCTCTCTTGAACGCTTCTGGAGACCTTTGGAAGCCTCTGCGGGTCTCCCACATGTTCTGTATGAGACAGTGATGGACAGGACCCGGACAGTGATGGACAGTGATGGCATGGACAGAGCGCGGGCGAGACAGGTCCAGTCAAAGCAGTGCACGGGAAACTCGGACACGCCAGCACCCTCCCCTGCTGGAAGGGATTGCATATGCAGACGCGCCCTGGCGCAGGTCTGCCTGACGGGTGACCGTTGTGGAGCTTGCGTGCACGCCGACAGCAAAAGTGGTGGGACGAACGGCGGTCCAAAACGAAGGCGATGTCAGTTCAACATGCGCTTCGGGAGGACCCAGGTCCTCCAACGACGATTTGCTTTCAAGACGACCTTTAGAACTTCCGATCCCTTCCCCCGCGCTTGCGCTCTTCTCGTGAATCGTGAGGTGAAGGTCCTGGAGCCAGGGGGCGTGCTCCAGACGCCCAAGCAGATGTCGTCATGGCCTCGGAGGTCTGGGAGCGGGAATGACGGCAGAGGATCCAGTTCTGTCGGGCGCAGCCACGCTTCGAAGAACGCGCCCTCCTTGAACTTGGAATTCCCCTGGCGCGGGCAGGGTTCACAACAGAAGTGCGGGGAAGGAGCGGCCCCTACAGAGACTCGCCTTCCCCCTGCCTCTCCTCGCCATTTTTCTGCCTTCCTGGCAGTCTCCTCTGCCTCCTCCCCCTCCTCCCTCTGTTCCATCCTCCTCGTTCCTGCCTCATCCCTCCTCTCTCCTCTTGCCACTCCTCCCTCCGTTCCCCTCTCCTCCTTCTCCTCATCCCCAGCGAGTCCCTCCTCGCTCCTTGCTCCACCTCCAAACTTCGCTCCACACCCGTCCCCAGGCCCACTCATCCACCTTTCTTAGGGGGCGCGCAAACATGGATTAGCGATCCATGGATTTGGCGCGCGGACACCAAAACCATGGATCGGGGGACATACCCTCCCCAAACTGCGGCTGGTGCCGCCTCGCTCGGCGGCGGAAATCCACAATTTCCCAAGGAAACGGTGCCCGTCGCTAATGCACGCCCCCTTGATCCATGTTTGCGATCGCCTGATCCTCCTCCTCCTCCTCCTCCTCCTCCTCCTCCTCCTCCTCCTCCTCCTCCTCCTCCTCCTCCTCCTCCTCCTCCTCCTCCTCCTCCTCCTCCTCCTCCTCCTCCTCCTCCCTCGGCCCGATCCCCATCCTCATCCTCATCCCCCTCTCGATCTGAGGAGGAATCCAGACCTCTGGCGTCGCCAGGACAAGCAACGTTGGACTCTAGCGTGTGGTGGCATCTTCTGGGCCCCTTCACCCACGAGCATCGACTTACAGCGAACAACTGGCACCGTTAACGGGGTCGAGAGCTCGGGGGCCCCTCTGGTGAGAAGATCAAGAAGCGAAAGGCCCCCGGTTCAATACGATCACACACACGCACTTTTGAAGTCAGTGGGGTCAAGGAGCCTCAGGCGAGGTCGGCAGGTGGAGGTGCCAATTGCGCACGAAGTTAGTCGAACGCACCATGATGAAAGATCCTAACCCCGCACGGCCATGCCGTTTGGTGGTGGGAAAAGAGAAGCACTGTGAATCCCGCAGAGCGTAATCTCGACCCCAGGAGTTGAAGCACAAGCAGCAGTCTGGTGCTAATCCCACCATGCGTCTGGGCGCCGGTGGTTTAGAGCGTTTCCTCTTCCACCCCTCCTTCTTCCCCTTCGGGGAGGGGTCTACCCCTCCCCCTACCCCTTCCCCATGGACCTGGAGAAGGGGTTTCGCGAGTCGCCGGAGCGTCCAGAACGGCCTCGGCGAGGAAGCCAAAATCACTGGTTTTACTAAGTTTTTGGCCCCATTTTGGCCTCCCAGGGAGGGGGGGGGAGGGCCTAATTTGTACCCCCCTCCTGTGATCGATCTCACCCAAGATGGCCTAAAGATGCCCCCCAAGGCTCCCAAGGGTGCCTCAAGAGGGCCCCCAGAGGTGGCCAAGAAGCCCCAAGAGGCCCCCAGGATGCTCCCAAGAGGCTCCCAAGCCAAGATGCTCCAAGAGGCCTCGGCGAGAGTGCCAACTCATTGATTCTACGAAGGTTTTAGACACATGTTGGCCTCTTGGGGGGCACTGATGAAGATGACTCCAAGAGCGCCTGGGAGAGCCCAACATGACCTCCAAGATGGCTCCAGATAATTATCTCAAGATGTATCATAATGGTTTCCTCTGTGCGGTGCCCACTTCCCTGATCGAGGCAATTCCTCTGGGCATCGTTTCTGTATGGGTTGGTGGGGATTATTTTTGGTCTGCGGGCTCGCGAAGCAAGTCGAAAGCCGTCCGAACAGGAGCCGGGCCGCGAATAGGCAGCAAGAAAAGAGAGGGGCAAACGAATCGAGCGCGCGGGCAGCCACTCAAAAAGAGGACCAGGAACGGCACTCCCAACCCGGTGGGCGGCGCGACCACGAACACGCAGAGGTCGATCACCCGGTGTGAGTCGGCACAAGGCCCGACAGGCACTCCAGGACGACATCCGTGCCGCAGGTGACACAACAGCATCGTATCAGCGCCGGGAGAAGAGGGGGCAGCCTCGTCCCAGACAGGACTGCAAACGGCAGATCCTCATGTATGTACACCCAGTGGCACAGGTCGAAAGCGAAGTCCATGTAGGAGAAAACAGCCGACGGGCGCCAAGAGCCACACATGCCAAAGTTCTTGCACCGAAGAGGACGGCAGCGCAGCGAGACCCCACGGAACCCACACGGTCACCAGTGGAGGCTGACACCAAGCAGGAGCAGGCCAGGGGCCACCTGACCGCCCGTCCCCATTGTGTAATTGCATGGAATTCGAAGCGAGACCTCACGGAACCCTCCCGGTCACCAGTGGAGGCCGACACCAGCCAGGAGCAGGTCAGGGGCCACCTGACCGCCAGTTCCCACTGCGAACCTTGCGTGGAATTCAAGCTGTCAGAGCATCATCAGACAGCGGTACTGGCGGCAACCCAAGCCGCGCGGGATAAACCCGGCGAAACGAGGGAGAGGAGGGGAAGTGCACGCCAGGCACGAAAGGCAACGTCGTGGCAGCTGACCGCTGCGGCAATAGGAAGCAGGGGACACGAGTATCGGAGCCCACTGAACTCTTTTGGCCACCAGCAGGGGGGGGCGCTGGCCTAGGGCAGCCAGTAGGCACCACACCACCCAGTCCTGGTGCAATTCTTGCGCGACCCTTTCCGCACTCTTCCCGGTGTAGGTGACTAACCACCGCAGATCCCCCTGGATCCGAGGCGGCTGGGTGTTCCAAGGGGTCGTGTTGCCAGTGGGTTGTGTTGGGCGACTCGCGACTAGCATCACACTCCGCCCGGTGGAAGCGACTGACCGCCGCAGAGGCGATTGGAATCCGAGGCGGCTGGGTGTTCCCAGAGGTCGTGTTGCCAGTGGGTTGTGTTGGACGATCGGCAAAGTCCTCTCTGTCTTCTCCCTGCCCCTCACCCTGCGACTCGCGACTATCATTTCATTCTTCCCAGTGGCGGCGACTGACCGTCGCAGAGCCCGTTGGAATCCGAGGCGGTTGGGCGCACCAAGAGGTCGCGTTGCCAGTGGGTTGTGTGGGACGGTCGGCAAGGTCCTCGCAGACTTCTTCCTGCTCCTCCACCTGCGATTCGCGACTATCTTCGCGCTCGCCCCGGTGGAGGCGACTAATTTCGCAACCTTCCCAGTGTAGGCGATTAACCGTCGCAGGAGGAGAATCTCCCTTCCCCACACCCTGCGACCCGCGACTATCCTCAAACTCTTCCCGGTGGAAGCGACTGACCGTCGCAGAGGCTATTGGAAACCGAGGCGGCCGGGTGTTCCCAACCGTGGTGCACGTCGCCGACGCGCTGCTAGTCCCGTTGGTCCCCGTTGCCATGCTACCTGTCACGGCGGCGCTGGCCAGCGACGTGCTACTCGACCCCGCGAGGTGGATCCCGTGGTACTGCACCCAATCGTGCTCGACAGCGTTGTGCTTCGCGACTCGCTGGTGTTCGTTGCCGTGCCGCTTGTCACGGCGGTGCCGGCCAGCGACATGTCGCCCGACTCTGTAGTGCTAGACCCCGGGGTGCCCGACTCCATTGTGCACGACACCGGCGTGCCGCTGGCGTCATGGTGCAAGTCGTCACGCCGCATGTTCCGGTAGTGCTCGTCGGCGAAGTGCTGCTCGACCGCGTCATGTGGGACCTCGTGCTGCACGACGCCGTCGCGCTGGTCAACGCGCGCAGCTCGCCCCCCTAGCGCTCGATGCCGAGCTGCATGTCTCAGTGGTGATGGCCAGCGACTCGCTGCAGGACTCTGTCGCGCTACTGCTGGTTGTGCTCGTTAGGGTCGTGCTGCTGGTCTCTGTGGTGCTCGTCGCCGTGCAGCTCGTTTCAGTGGTGCACGTCGGTGACGTGCTGCACGGCTCTGTGGAGCCTGGTCCCGCGGTGCGCGTCACCGTCGCGCTGCTCGACTCACCAGCGCTCGTCGCCGTGCTGCTTGTCTCAGTTGTGCTAGTCAATGCCGCGAAGCTCGACTCTGTTGTGCTGGAGCCTGTTGTGCTAGACTCCGTTGTGTAGGTCCTCGTCGTGCTGCTCGTCTCACTGGTGCTCATCGTCGAGCTGCTGGTCTCAGTTGTGCTGGTCGGAGACGAGGTACTGGACTCAGTAACCGGATCCTGTGGTGATGGCCAAGGGGACAAGGGACAAGGGAGTCGGTCGCACAACGTGCTGCTCGACGAGGTGCTGTTGGTGTCCGTAATGCTGGACAAGGCAGTGCTGCTCGACTCGGTCGCGCTGCTCACCGTGGTGCTGCTCAGCGTCGTGCTGCTCGTCATTGATGTGCTGCTCGATTCCGTGGTACACGTCAGACTGGTGCTTGTGCTACTCGACTCGCTCGTGCTGGTCAAACTGGTGCTGCTAGACTTTGTGGTACTTGAGTCGGTCGTGCTCGTTAGTGAGGTGATACTAGATTCCGATGAGCTGGTCAGTGATGTGCTGCTTGATTCTGTCGTTGTAGTCAGCAATGTAGTGCTCGACACAAGGGGGCTGCGCAGCGTGGTGCTGCTTGATTCTGTCGTCGTGCTGAGTGTCATGCTGCTTGATTCCGTGGTGCTCGAGTCGGTCGTGCTGGACAGGGAGGTGCTGATCGATCCTGTGGCGCTCGAATGAGTAGTGCTGGTCAGCATTGTACTGCTTGACTCTGTGGTACTTGACCCCGTGGTGCTTGACTCAGTAGCGCTTGTCAACAACGTGCTGCTCGACCGCGCGTTGCCCGACTCGGTCGTGCTGGTCAGTGACGTGCTGCTCGACTCTGTGGTACTTGAGCCAGTCGTGCTGGTCAGCGAGGTACTGCTCGGCTCCGCAGTGCACGACTCGGACGCACTGGGCAGAGACGTACTGCTCGATCCCGCGGTGCTCGACGCTGTCGTGCTGGTCAACGACGCGCTGCTGGACTCTGTGGTACTTGAGCCAGTCGTGCTGAACAACGAGGTACGGCTCGACTCTGTGGTACTGGAGCCAGTCGTAGTGGTCTCGGTCGTGGTCTGCGGGGTGCTGCTCGACTCCATGGTACTTGAGCCGATCGTACTCGCCCTGGTCGCGTTGGTCAACGACGTACTGCTCGACTCCTCTACGGCACTTGAGCCAGCCGCGCTGATGAGCGAGGTGCTGCACGACTGTGGTTCTGGAGCCAGTCGACTGGTCTCGATCGTGCTGATCAGCGAAGTACTGCACGACTCTGCCAGTTGTAGTGGTCTCGGTCGTGCTTGTCGGCGAGGTGCTGCTCGACTCTGTGGTGCTCGAACCCGTAGTGCTGGAGCTGGTGGTGCTGGTCAGCGAGGTACTGCACGACGACGCACTGCTCGGCCCTGTGGTAATTGAGCCGGTCGTGGTGGTCAGCGAGGTGAAGCTCGAATCGGAAGTGCACGATCCTGTAGTGCTCGACTCGATCGTGCTTGTCAGCGACGTGCTGCACGACCCTGCGATACTTGAGCCAGTAGTGCTGGTCTCGGTCGTGCCTGTTAGCGTGGTTCTGCACGACTCGACCCGGTGCAATACCGATCCCGTGGCTCGACCCCGCGGTGCTCGATCCCGCGGTGCTCGACCCGGTCGCGCTGGTCAGCGACATCCCGCGCACCGACGTGCTGCTCGACTCTGTGGTCCTTGAGCCGGTCGTACTGGTCAGCGAGGTGCTGCTCGTCTCTGTGGTAATTGAACCTCACGTGCTGGTCTCAGTCGTGCTGATCAACGTGCTGCACGACTCTGTGGGACTTGAGCCGGTCGCACTGGTCTCGGTCGCGCTGGCCAGCGCGGTGCTGCTCGACTCAATGGCGTTCGAACCCGCGGTGCTCGACCGGGTCGCGCTGGCCAGCGACGTGCTGCACAGCGCGGTGTTGCCTGATTCTGTGGTACTTGAGCCGGTCGCAATGCTCAGCGAGGTGCTGCTCGACTCTGTGGTAATTGAGCCTGTCGTGCTGGTCTCGGTCGTGCTTGTCAGCGACGTGCTGTTCGACTCTGTTGTACTTGGGCCCGTCATACTAGTCTCGGTCGTGCTGGCCAGCGTGGTACTGTTCGACTCAGGGGTGCTCAATCCCGTAGTGCACGACTCACTCGTTCTGATCCGTGACGTGCTGCTCGACGACGCACTGCTCGACTCTGTAGTGATTGAGCCAGTCTTGCTTGTCAGCGAGGTGCTGCACAACTGCACAGTTCTGCGCGCCCTCAGACAGGGACGGAGGCCACGGGCAGGGCAGACGAAGAGTACGGCTGGAGAAACAGGCGAGCATGGCGGAGGCGGAACGCAGCTAACCGCTGCAGCAACGGGAGATGAAGGCGCATGGACAGACATGGAAAGCAGTTAACCGCTGCAGCAAGGGGAAATGAGGGCACATGGACAGCGGATGCAGGGGCCGCAGGAGGAGAAGAGCGACTAACCGTCGCAGCCTTGGAAGAAAAACAGGCAGGGGAGATGGAGGCAGCCTGAGGCAGGCCGTCAGGCTGGCCGCGGGACCAGCAGTGGGACTGGCCGTAGGGCTGGCCGTGGGACTGACAATCGGGCTGGCCGTGGGGCTGTCGGTCGGGCTGGCAGTGGGGCTGGCCGTGGGGCTGGCCGCGGGGCTGGAGGTCAGGCTGGCCGTGGGACTGGCCGTGGGGCTGGTCGTGGAGGTGGCCGTGGGGCTGGCCGTGGGGCTGGAGGTCGGGCTGGCCGTGGGACCGGCCGTGGGGCTGGCAGTCGGGCTGGCCGTCAGGCTGTCCGTGGGGCTGGCAGTTGGGCTGGCCGTAGGGCTGGCCGTGGGGCTGGCAACCGGGCTTGCCGTGGGTCTGGCCGCGGGGCTGGCCGCGGGGCTGGCAGTCGGGCTGGCCACGGGGCTGGCCGTCGGGCTGGCCGTCGGGCTGGCAGTGGGGCTGGCCCTGCTGGCCGTGGGACTGGCCGCGGGGCCGGCAGTCCGGTTGGCCGTCGGGCTGGCTGCGGGCCCGCCGCGGGGCTGGCCGCGGGGCTGGCCGCGGGGCGGGCAGTCGGGCTGGCCCCGGGGCGGGCCGCCATGCTGGCCGCCAGGCGGGCCGTGGGGCTGGCAGTCGGGCTGGCCACGGGGCTGGTCGCCAGGCTGTCCGCGGGGCTGGCCGTCGGGCTGGCCGTCGGGCTCGTTCCTGTCAATGGTGTCTGGCGCGGTGTCCTCAAGCACGGGCGAGGCACCGTCGTCTGGCCCTCCGAAGTCCACTTCCGACCGCATGCCTTCGTGGTCGAACACCCCGCACGCCCCCCCTGCTCCAGTGGTTCCGGTCGAGCGATACCATCCACTGAGCCGCCTCGATGAAGCCCGAGGATAGTGTCTGGCGCGAGCCTCGAGACACTGCAGCGAGCGTCTCGGCGGGAAGCTCGCAGATTTGCTTATGTTGGATGCCCGCCCATTCAGCCACGTAGTCTGCGTCAATCTGATCACCCAGGGTTAGCGCATGGCCCATGAGCCGAATTCCCCACTCCTCGGTTGCGCTGTCCAACGAAGGGACCTGAGAAGGACGCCGCCGCACTGTCTGTCAGCGCGGCGCGCGCGGGACAAGTGGCCCCTCCGCGAGAAGCTGCCATCTCAGCGCGACATGGTCTCCAAGCCGCATCTGTGCCGGAGCTCAGCCACAGATCCACAGCGCCGCCAGTTGCGTGGCTTCTGCGGAAGAAGCAAGCTGATCGGTGGAGACTGCCTTGGCGCCCTGCGGCTTCCGATCCGCGAGCAGTTCCAGCATGACTGCCCAGAATTTGCTGTCGCCGTACAATGGGACAAAGCGCGCATCGAACTCGCACGTGCTGGCACGCACGTCACAATGGGCGCAGACTCCCGGCTTTCCACTGAGTGTGCGATGCCCTCTCTGGTCATCTTCGCTGTTCACCGGGCCTCCCGACTGGATGATGCCGTTGAGAGCCTCAAATTTGGTTACGTGTCACACCCGTGTTACGTACCATTGGAGAGGTCGAGCCAATGAAACCGGAAACATCAATCGGCATGTCCGTCAGGCCGTCCGAATCTCCCAAGTAGGGAGTGGCTGTTGCTGACCAGCCGAGCGTGTAGAAAGCACACACAGGAAAAGGGCTGGGTCCGCTCTGGTGCCTGGAGGTGGGTGCTGAACACTGCCCTTGACGTTCTTGCTGCAATTGTGGTGCTCTAGGGCATTCCATGAAAGTGGATTGCCGTGAAGCTTGGCATGGAGTCTTGGAACGTAGCTTCCGATGGGCGCGGGAGTGGGAGCCTCGCACAGGGCAGGCAATACCATCGGCCATGGGAGAGCAACCCTGCTGACGCCCTCCTGCCAATATACTACCTGGATGCCCTGGGCTACCGCGTGTACTTTCACCGTGGTCTCCCTTGCGCCCCCGCCTGCCCTGCCAAGGTCCACCGCGCCTGCTCGTCCAGCAACACCTCCTGCTGCTACGATCAGTGGATGTCCTCGAACGATGTTGTGCAGTACCTGCATGTCCTGAGGCGTAGGTTGCGTCTCCAGCACTCTAATTACAACAGCGGCCCGCTCTCATTCGATGCCAAGCCTCAGCAGCGGGTTTGCCTCTACTCCCGCAGGAGCATGATGCCAGGCCTTCGCTTCGCTTCCTTCCGCTCCTCCGCCTCCTACTCCTCCTCCTCCTCCTCCTCCTCCTCCTCCTCCTCCTCCTCCTCCTCCTCCTCCTCCGCCTCCTCTCCTCCTCCTCCTCCTCCTCCCTCCTCCCTCCTCCTCCTCCTCCTCCTCCTCCTCCTCCTCCTCCTCCTCCTCCTCCTCCTCCTCCTCCTCCTCCTCCTCCTCCAGGGGATGCGCGTCTTCTTATGTCAGGCCTGCCTGCCTCTATCCGTGCGCCGATGTCACCTCCAGCGGCTGCCCGCACGTGTCCCCGTGCGCCGTGTCCACACTGCCAGGGCCGCACTCGCTCCCAACCAGTGTCGTGTGGAGCTTGCACAGGCGGCAGCCCTGCCAACGCGTAATCTCAGGCGCATCATGTTTGTATGGGTTGGGTCGTGGGACGCAGCCCTGAGCCACCTTGATCGCGTAGTGGCATGGCAGGTTCATCTGCCATCCATCCATCGCAAACTTCGGCGGTTCCCACTCCTCGGGGACCAAATCGCGGGGTTCCAACCAGGATTTGGTAGCTCAGATCTGACAGCGCCTGCACATGGGTGCGAAGGTCAGTCCTATCGGTGGGAAAGATACCTGCCTGTCTCCCGAGCTCTTCATGTGCCTTCTGGAGCATTGGTCGGTCTGGTTGGCCCGAAGCAAGGAGCTCTCCGGGGTTGTCCGATGTCAGACGCGCTTCCATGTGGCAGTCCCATAGTGCGAGGTTCGCGAACCACGAGTCGCTTCAGAAGGTACGCCGCACGTCCAATTATGATCAGCCCATCCGCGCCAGGGTCGCCTGTGGCCATCTGTTGCACCAGGTCAATGGGTATGACGTTTCTGTGCCGTGTGCATGACAAAACGGTTGGGACGATGATTGCGGGAAGGTGCCACAACATGAGGGGTAATGACCCGCCCACCTGCTCCAGCATGTGCGAGTTTGTGCTCGATGATCTGAAATGGGATGACCTTGTTCTCTGTGCCTACGCTTTCCGCATGGCCCAGCAAAGTCTGCTGGAGGATCGCAATGAGCGCAGCGTAGTTGTTGTTGCCAGCGTCACCAGACCACCCTGTCGTGATGCGATCGTGGGTAGCCCACCCTTTTATGTCGTAGTCCCGGGCACTTGATGGTCACTCTGCCTGGCCCGGTGAGGAACGTGGACACACACACACACACACACGCAAGTGCGAGCAGGATCCGAGTTCGTAGACGTAAGTGGCAAAGAGGCTTGGTCCGATGTGGGTTCTGTGACGAGACGGGCGGACCTGCTGAAAGGTACCAAGGAGTTTGGTCCATCTGTCCTTCCCCGAGTCGTTCTCTTGGGCCGCCTGGACTTGAGGATCTTGTGGGAGACCACACAGGTGCTGGCACTTGCTGGGAGTGAAGGGGGTCATAGGAATTCCTGAATTGAACCGTGAGCGGCTGGATTGGATGACACGAGTATCCGAGGGCTCGATCGAGATGTTTCCAGTGTCTGATGATGCTGGTGATAATCCTGACCCGGCCCCCGTCCTAAGCTGTGAGTGCGGACAAGAACGTCGAGGCGAGCGAGGCTTGGAAAACAATCGAATGCGAGGGTGTCCCGCGTATGCCAAGAGAAAGCGAGCCCAGGACCAGGCCCACAAGTGCGAAAGAGAGAAACTTCAGATTGATGCGAGCTCGGGCGATGCGTCTGTCCACAGTGCTTCAAGACGTTCCCTCGAAAGATTGTTCGTCAAACCTATGCCACGCGACATGGACGTTGTCTGGAAGGAGTCTTAGCTCGAGATCCTGGCGTCCCCGAGGCCGCCCCCCCTCCACCTCCACCAGCGCCGGCTGCGCCATGTGAGGCATCGACGGCGGACACCGCGGGGAAGAGTGGATGCCTGGGACGTGGCTGTGGCGGTGAGGTCGATACCGAGGGTGCGGGCGAAGTCACGTGCATGGACTCGTGCAGGCTCCTGAAGGCGATGCAACACGAGGGGGAGAAGTGCAACCACGCTCGGGACGACAACTTCGTGAGCGAGGTGGCGACGGAGCATGCATTCATGAAGGCGACAGTGTACGCGGAGGGGCAGCACGAAAAGGAGAACAAGGAGGCGCGGAGAGGAGCGGACTTCAGGGGCCACCCAAAAGGCAAGAGGCCCCACGCGCTGCTGAGGAGCGTCCTCTCTCGGCTCGGCCAGCACACCAAGCACGAGGCGGCCGCGGTGGCCGAGCTGGTGGCGAACCTGACAGGGGACCGGGGCGCCCGTCTGGAGGGAGGCCATCCCCCGGACGCGCTCGCGGTGCAGAGGGCGCGACAGCGCGCACGCTGGAGGGCGGGGAGAGTCCGCTCCAGGGCGCCGCGCCGCTCCCGCACCGAGAGGTCGAGACGGGGGAGGCGTGGCCGGGCGGCGCCTCGCGCAGCCAGCTGGATGGAGCACTCGGTGGGCGCCCCCCGCACGGTGCAGGCCGCGCGGAGCGCTGGGAGGGCCGTGAGGTGCAGCCCTGCGGCGGGCCTGCCGCCGCATGGCCGAGGTCAAGCGGCGGAGGTGGAGCGGCTGGCCCTCGGGGGCGGCCGGGGGCGCGAGCGGCAGCGGCGGAGGCGGCGAGGGGGCGGGGAAGGAGAGGGAGAGG